TGAGGGGGACACACTCAAACCTTAGCAGCAACCCTTTGTTTTAAACCAGATTTTCCTGACTGGTTATTTAAATGATGATTTAAAGCAGATTTAAATAAAATCCACCTAAATTCTACTTTTATGGCAATATTACTTCAGAATACATAGAATGTGAATAGTGGCTATCTACATATTTGCTCACAACAATTTCTCAAAAATATCTATAAAAAATGTCCTAAAGTAGTTAGCCATACTTTATAGAGTTTGGGTCAAGAAGTTGCTAAGGAATGCCTAATGATATACTAGTCCACAGGAAATTCAGCTAGGGTATGCAATGTTCATTGTCATCACAGTAAGTTGAAATTATGAGATCCCATCATCACAAGTTTCCAATTTCTGACTTTTTTTGTCAACTATAGTTTAACAAAATACTATTAAGTGTATGATTTCAATTTAATAATTCTACCATTAAGAAAAATCTAAACTGCAGAGCTGGGGATATAGCTCAGTGGCACAAGTGCCTGCCTGGCAAGTGTAAGGTCCTGAGTTTGATTCTCAGCACAAAAAAAATAAATAAATAAATAAAAAATAAAAGAAAAATCTAAACTGAGTACAGTGGCATATGGTTGTAATCTCAGTACTCTGAGAACCTGAGACAGGAAGATTGCAAGTTCAAGCTCCGGCATCTTAGCAACTAGCAAGACCTGTCTCAAAATAAAAAAATTAAAAATGGGGTAGGAATGCAGCTCAGTACAAAGTCCCAGTTTCAATCCCAGTACTGAATGAATGAATAAATGAATGGGAAAAAAGGGAATCTGTAACCACCTTACAGGTATTTCCCCTTTTAAGAACTGTAGCTGTCAGCTGAGTGTGGTGGCACATGCCTACATTCCCAGCACTCTGGAAAGCTGACACAGAAGGATCTCAAGTCCAAGACCTTCCTGGACAATTTAGCAAGGCTCTATCTGAACATTTTATAAAGGGGCTGGGTTGTACCACACTGGGAAGCCCCTGGGTTCAAACCTCAGCACATAAAGAAAAAGAAGGCATATAGGAGGGCAGGTAGGAGCGAGGAAGAGAGGAAAAAAAAGACATGTCTGAGAGCAAGTTTTTTAAAAGCTGGAAGAAAAACAAATAGAAACAAGAAATGTTTAAAAGACAATTATCAATGTTTAAAAGACAAAATACTCTTAGAACCTGAATTTTCTAAGTGTAAAATATTAAAAGTCTTGACAAAATCTAACACAAGCCCAATGTCTTTCTTATAATAATGATTCAGGGCTGTGTAAGGAAAGACCTCCCAAAACTCAGTTGATTAATAAAATGAATAAATCAATTTATAACACTGTAAGAAAATTCTAATTACAATCATTCTGCTGTCCATGAATTTTCAGATCAGTAATTTCTTTGCCACTTGGAAAGGTTTTTTCAGAATTATCTAATTTTGTACATTTTTATCAAAGGTCTAGTAAAAGTTTCTCACTGTTCTTAAGTACATGAAGTACATACCTGCTTCATTATTCCTCTCTTTTCTGTTCCACTGCTTTTCCCCATTCCTTTTCCCTAAGAAATTTTCCTACTCTTAACCTCAATTGCTCCTTAGAATCCATTCTTCGACTTCAGGGGACAGGAACTCTGTACTGGACACCCAGCATTAGCCCTGTATCGGTGTCAGGGTGGATAAGAAGTAGCGTGAAGGGACCAGATGGGAAGAGAGATGCACAGTACCTCTCGGGTTATGCCCCACAGACTTGTTCTTCCTACCAGAACCTACCTTCCTGGAGCGCGTCAGCTACACACCTCCATAATGTAATCACCGCCGAACCCTTGAGGCTTTCAGGGGGCCATTTTTGGTCCAGTAACAACGGTAAAGCTTTACTTTGCTTTACCACTACTGTACTTACTCCCTTTGCTCTGCTTTATCAATGTATACTTCATGTTCTACCAATAAACATATAACATTGATATCTGGAAACTAAGTGGATAAAACAAAAATTCTCATGCATGACAAAGCAGAAGCACATGTAATATTTTTCTGTAAGTGAGTAAGTACACACGTTACTTACCACAAACGAAAATACTTGTCATAAGGTTGCATAATCACAATAAACTAACACACAAACCCTAATTAAAATGTTTGTGTATATTTTTCTTTCTCTATTCCAAAATTTTTTTAAAGTTATCTAGAAAGAGACAGCTAATAAAACCATCAGGCCCAGAAATTGTGAATATATTTAAGTGTGATTCTAGAAAAACAAATAAAATGCTGAGGTAGAAAAGTAGGACAGGTAGAGCAAAGGAAAAAAAAAAGGAATCCACCTTTACAAGTGACCTATTAATGGTCTGATCAGGGAAAAATAAGATACACAAAATTCTTTCAGTTCTCTTTATCTATTTTCTAGGAAAGTTTAAACTAACAGCACTCATCTGACCTCAAACTGAATTCTCATTATCAACAATTATGGAGCACTAAAGAAGTGAGATGGGTTACTGTTACAATCAGAGTACAATAATCAGTCAATTTGAACTGGAAACCTAACTCTGCCATTTATTAGCTCTACGATTACAAGCGTAAGAAGCACGTTCTTAGATATTAACTAGATATTAAAAGTACCTATTGCAGAAAATAATTAAGTGAGATAATACATGTACTTCCCTAGCAAAATTACTACTACTGAGAAAATATATATTTGAAATGTTAGATGTTTATCATTATTATGTCTACTGTGAGCAGAGCATTTTGTTCATGCTCCATGTAGACCTGACCATATTATTTCTCTACTTAATTATTCACTGGCTTCCCACTCACTTAAAATCTAAACTCAACATAATATCAAGTTCCCCCATAGTCATCTCTCATCATTCCTCTTCTACTCTAAACTGAGCCTGAATAGACTTCAATTCCACAAATACACCATATTCCTGTGCTGGCCTGCACTCTTCTCATATGAAGTTCATTTTGCGAAGAACATTTAGAACATTCCTTCCCCGGCTTTTTTCCTTCCAGAACACGTCAGCTATACACCTCCATAATCTAATCACCTTCCAAATGCATGAGGCTTTGAGGGGGCCGTTCTTGGTGTGTAAATATTACTTCTCAGAGCCTGTCTGTGACACATGGACTAGTACAGATCAATGAGTTTAATGTTCATGGAGATATTTTGAGACTACCATATGCCCAAACTGAAGACGAAAACCAACATCACGGTAATGGCCTATTAGAGGTACAGAAAAAGGCATGAGACTGCTTACCTTTTAAATTGCTTGTATAAACAAGCAGTAAGCACATTTGTAGTTTAAGCCAGACATTAACAAATGACAACTCTTGGGCCAAACCAGCCAGCTGCCAGTTTTTGTAAATAAAGTTTTACTGGAATACAGTTGAGTAGTAGTTTATTCTTATTCATGATTGTCAAGTTTAGCAGTACCTGCAACAGAGGCCATGTGACTCGGAAAGCATGAATAATTTCCTGTCCAGTAAGTGTAGTGCTACCTGAGTTCAGGTCATTGATAATAAGGTTTAGTTACTGATGGTCAAAAGTATCCTGTGTTTGGATGTTCTACAGCTTCTTTTGTTTTCTACAAACACTCATCTGACTCTGCCATTGTGATTTTCATACCCTCGCTTCCATGCTTATTTTTCCAATTGCGTGAAAGCTCCAAGTAGTACTAGCTCTAACATTATGTTCCTATATTTAACGCTATATCTGATAAACAGAAGATATTTAAATATTGTAGACCAAGCAAGTAAATGAATGTTTATATTTGATAATCAATAAATATTTATGAGCAACTAATATGTACATGAGGTATTCTGATATAAGAATACAAATTCTGAATGGGTTCAAAAATCAGCTTTATGAAATAAAGATCTAACCTTTAAAAAAATAATATTAATAAATTATTTCTGGTACAAAGCAGGATGCACAAGTACATATATTAACAAATACTTGTATTGTAAATGCATACATTGGTTTAAAAAAATGTATTTTGATTTTCGATCAGACTAAAGAGGTAAGAATTTGCATGTACTCAGTTCTACCTAGGAGAAAAGGCACCCTGACACAAAACCACCCCATATTATGGCCTACTGAAACTACAGAGCTCACTGAATGAGATTATCATGGTTTTCTAGAATCAGACCCCAAGGCCCTTCAACTGACATCTCTTATTTCTACTTTATTCATTATCTTTGTTGAGATTAATGTCAAGAAATAATGACAAATGCAATGTTATGACTTATGAACCTGGCATCCAGGAATCAATCTAATAGAACAGAATCAGCTCTGAGAGAGATTCACACAGGAGGCTGAAAGATGGATGATGGTGATAAATTCCAAGATGTTCTACTTTATAGAACTGAAGACCCCAATGACAATTTTGAATAAAACAAATAAGCAATATATTTAAGTTGCTAAACAAGAAACATCTTCTGGTTTGTTATAGAGCTATGAGTAGATTTCAACCTCCAAATGGACAGTTAGAATCACTGTTTTAGTAATAATAATGGATACACTCTAACATACATATGAATCATACTATTATTGCCCTAATCCCTATTCTAAATGAAGAGGCTTAACCAATAGTAAGGTGCATCGTTCCCTCCTTCTATTTCATCTTTATTCCTTTCCCCAAAAGCTGTAAGTTATCAGACAGCTTTAATCACTACAGTCTTTACATTTTAACTTCATATTCACAATAAAACAGAATGTATAACTTTCCAAAAGTTATGTAAAGTAGCCTTTATTTATGTATTAAACATTGATACTGCATTATATTGTGTTCCTAAGAGTAGCTATTTCATTATTTTTAATGAAAATAGAAATGTGCCATAAACAAATAAGATAACTATTTATTCTTTCTGTTTGCTCTCTTATATTCTCTTTTATTCATCTTCTTCACCTCTTACAGGAGTTTAGCCACAAGGACAGGAATAAGAGAAATATCAGAGAAAGAAAATTTATTTTGAATATAGCTTGGAATCAGTGAGTCATCATTTCACAAAATTTACATCAACTTACCCACGTTTGGTGTGTAATTCTTTGTCCTTGCCTTTATCCTTTTCTCTCTTCTCTTTATCTCTGCCTTTACGTCGATCTCTATCCCGGGACCTACTACGGGTTCTTCTGTGACTGGACCTTTCACTGCTTCGACTATGGGAACGTGGACGAGGTCTTGACCTGGACCTATAGTAAGCAGATTTGATTAAACAGAATTAGAGAATATTTCTCATTTGAAAAATAAATATCCTATAAAATTATTGGAAAAAAATTTAGCTTTAGTTATGAACTCAAAAAGTAAATAACTGCAGGAAGCAAGCATGTGAATATGATTCTTTATAATTACTATTAAAATGACATGAGGAAACATATTATCTACTTTGCAAAACAAACTAAGGTTCAGTCAAGAAGTGTTTATAAACGAAAGTCTTCTTGTGTTTTCTCACTTGGTTTTGTTTGCTTTTGTATAGAGTCTCACTATTTTGTCCTGGCTGGCCCTGAGTCCTAGGCTTTAAGCAATCCTCCTGCCTCAGCTTCTCAAATAGTAAAACTAAGGTACATGCTGCTGAACAGAAACAAGTGAGAGGTGTAAAGGTTCAAATCAAATCTTAATTAGTAAGGTCCCATAAGATAACATGACAAACCAAATGTATTTAACGTAACCTGTAAGGACAGAGGTCTTCCCTACCCCTGTAACCTCTGCTTATCTATTCAACCCTATTTCTTATTTCTAATTATTTCAATAAAATTATTCATCTACAGTAATCCAGCTATTTTTTGTACAAAATTATAACAGTAGGTGTCTTAGTTACTCTTCTCACTGCTGAGACAAAATACATGAAATCCAAAGTTAAAGGAGAGTTAAAATTATTTTGTAGAGATTTCAGTTCATAGTTGGCTGGGTCCACAGTAGGGTGGCATGGGAGAGAGGGATGGCAAAGCAGAAAGGCAAAGACAGAAGGCAGCAAGCAGCAATAACCGACCCTCTTTCTGCCCCTTATATCTTACCCGGGCTACCACCCTTAGGGCCAACAGCACTCACACCCAGGGTGCTGCAGTCTTAATCCTAGTATCACCCCACAAATCAAGCCCAGTATTACATCTTTGATTCTGGCACCACACACCCTAGATCCAGCCACCTCCAAAAAGCCCCACCTATGACCACAAGAGTTTTTTGGAGCGGCCATCTAGATACAAGCCATAACAGCAGGACACATTATATGCTAGTAAGGGTCAATTTCAGGTCCTGATTAACAGTACTGACAAGAAACCTTCTATCAGAAAAGAAAGCTACCAGAAAATCCTACAGGTAACTATTTAAAACAGTTACATGAAGGTACCAGAGAATGACCTAAAGCATGGAGATTCTACAGGGAGCCAACACTTGGAAACAGGAAGCTGCAATGAAAAAGTTGCGGATTTTATCAGTTTCTACTCAGGGCAAGCCCAAGTCTGCCGCATGTGCGAGGTGGATTAAAATATCCAGCATATGTTTCAAGTTTTAAAAATTTATTTCAGTAAAAGATGCACTGTCATTAATCCCCCCTCAGGATGTTCCCCCTTACTTCTAATATCTGAGAGACAAAACAAAGAGGAATTCTTAAAATTAGTCATTAATCCAAAAAGAAGCTGCAAAGAAAATACAAAGGCCAAAAAAACAGAGAAATTCTCCTATTAACTTGTTTTGAAACTGTTTTATTGGGGCTTTTTCGCTTTAAAATAAAAAAAAAAAAAAGCAGGGAAAGGATACAATAGTGAAATACTGGACTTGAATGTAATAATATCAACGAATATATTTAATATTATTGAAGTAAATAATTAAAAGTTCTTTGTCACATGAATTAAAATGCCACGGACAACTATATACTACCTACAAATGCACTATAATTTGAAAATATAGAGAGGCTGAAAATAAGTGGCTAAATGTACATCATATAAACTGTACCTAGGAAAGATAAATATCTTAATACCATATAAATTAGACTTCAGGGTCGGTGATATAGCTCAGTGCATAGTGCCTGTCTGGCAAGCATAAGATCTTGAGTTTGATTCCCGGTACCAAAAAAAAAATTTCAGAAACTAAAATTATCACCCATAATAAAGATGCTTCACAATAATCAAAGAAATAACACTGAATGGACAACAGAGTTAAATTAGAACAGTAACACAAAAGAAACAGATATACAGAAACTATACTTTTAATTAATTCATGGGTCAAGTAAGAAACCAACAAGCAAATTAGAAAATATTTTAACCTGAGTGACAATGAAAATACAACATATGAGAATCTGTGAGATATAGCTAAAACAATACTTAGAAGAAAATGTATAACTTTGAATACTTACATTAGAGAAGAGGTGAAATTACTTCAGATTTTACTTTAAGACAGTGATGAAAGCCGGGCATAGTGACACATGCTTATAATCCCAGCATGCTCAGAGGCTGAGGCAGGAGGATCAGAAGTCCACACTCAGCCCGGGGAATTAAGCAACTTCATGAGACCTTGTCTCAAAAAATAAAAAGGGCCGGGGGTGTGGCTCATGGCAGAAACCTGGACTTCAATCCCTAGCACCACACATTTAAAAAAAAAAAGTTAAGAAGAGCAAAGTAAACCCAATGTACTTGATAAAAAGGAAATATTACATAGAAGACCAAGAATGTGTGAAACACAAAGCAGTAGAGATAATTAACAAAATCAGAATCTGGTAGTAAGAAAATATTAATAAAATTGATAAATAGCTAATTAGAACAATTAAAAAGAAAATATCAATACAATTTACCAAAGTGGATGACAGAGAAACTAAAAGAACTAGTACTGATACATATTCTAATAGGTAAGTCTCTAGGAGAATTACATGGGTGTCAATGGTACTAATATGTACCCTCTATCATCCCTAGTAGGTTCATTCTATGAATGAACAGCAATACTGGATCATAAATCCACAAACAATGTTTTCAAGTGTGATTTTGAGAAGTTACAGTATTTATTGCTAGAACTATCATTATTAATTATATTACTGATACAATGTACAAAAATTAATTTTCCATTTTCATTCCAATTTCCTATGATAATTATGACATTACTATCTTTCCATAGCAAAGTTTTATAATCATAGTTTACTCTCCTTATAGATGTTATCCTGTTCATTTTTAATGAATCTTACATTACATGCGAGTATACTGAAACTTTAACAGATTATTCCTAAAATCTCTGAGCAATGATCAGTCCAAACTTAAACTATTCTCATAAGAAAATAACACTAATAAAACCAGTGAGAGTCTCTTGTGACTTCAGTCACTAAGTATATCTAATGTGCATATAAATATACTAAATGTTACCTGACAGATACATAATATATTATCTTAACTCGGTTCTACAGTGGCAAGTTCAAAATATAATTCTGGAAAACAGTTGTCAAAATGCACAGTAATAAAAGGCAGGTAAACAGACAAAGATCATCTTTACACAATGGTTAAGAGATCAGTTGAACAAAGATATTGAACAATTATAAATGTATATGCACCTAAAGCCAAAAAAACTCAATTCATAAACCGGATATTACTGTATCTAAAGTGAGAGATAAGATCCAGTAGAATAACAGTAGAAAATCCAGTACTGTGCCCTCACTGATGAACATATCACGGAGAGAGGGAAAAAAGCCAGTTAGTAATTTAGAGCAACAGCACTTAACATATTGATACAAAACATTCCAACCAGCAACTGTAGAAGGCACATTCTTTTAAAAACTCATATTGGAGAAACAGACAGGCTTGCTGGAGATAATTATGAACAACTACATGCAAACATATCAGAATACCTACTGGATATGGAAAAACTTCTGGACACATATAAACTACCAAACTATATAAACTACCAAAACGTATAAACTGGACCACAGAGACATAGAAAACCCAAACAAATTAATGACAAGCAGTGACACTGAATCAGAAACAAAAAGTCTCCCAAGAAAGAAAAGCTCAGGACTAGATAGCTTCATTGCTGCACTCTTAATTAATTTCTGAGGAAAAAATAATGCTAATTCTTGTCAAACTATCCCAAAGAATTGAAAGGAGGACAGCTTTCCAAGCTCATACTCCAAGGCCTGCCTTACCCTGATACTGGAACGAGATGAGGACATAACTAAGAAAACTGTAGCACAGTATCTTTAATGAACATAAACATAACAACTATCAACAAAATGCTAAGAAATTGAATCAAACAGGACATTTGAAAGATAATTCACATGATCAAGTTAGATATTTCCCAGGTATGCAAGGATGGGTCAACATATGGAAATCAATAAAAATATAACAACAAAATGAAGAATAAAAATCACACGATCATCTCAACAGAAAAAGCATATGAGATAAACCTCTAGCCAACCTTATCAAAAAAAGGAAAGTAAAACCTCTAATTCATGCAATAAGGAATGAAATCAGTATAAATTCTGTAGAAATTCAGAAGATCATCAATACCTACTTTGAAAACCTTTACTCTCATAGGATGGAAAACAGATGAAATAGACAGATTCTAGATACCTATGAATTACCAAAGCTGAATCAAGAAGATAAAAAATACCGAATAACTCAATATTAGCCAACAACTGAAAATGTAATAACTTACCAACAAAGAAAAGCCCAGATCTCAATGGATTCACAGCTGAACTCCACAAGAAATTTAGAGAACATTTAATGCCTATTCTTCTCAAACTCTTTAATGAAATTGAAAGGGAAGGAATTCTCCCTAACTCAATCCTGGAGGCAAGTATTACCCTGCTAACAAAACCAGAGAAAGACCCAACCAAAGAAGAGAAATATAGGCCAAGCTCCCTAATGAACATAGATGCAAAAATTCTCAATAAAATACTAGCAAACAGAATGCAACAAATCATCAAGAACAAGTGGGATTATATACCATGAACAAATGGGATTCAACCCAGGAATGCAGAGATAGTTCAATATACACAAATCAATTAATGTAATACACCATATCAATACCGCGAAAGGAAAAAATCACATGATCATCTCAATAGATGCAGCAACAGCTTTTGATAAAGTCCAACACTCATTCATGATAAAAGCCCTACAGAAAATAGAAACAGACAGTCTTTACCTCACTCTGATAAAAGACATCTGTGACAAATCAACAGCCAACATCACATTAAATGGACAAAAATTGAAAGCTT